ATCGCTGGTCTCGCAAAAACAATGATCGGCATATTCCCGACGAGCCTGCAAGCCCTGCGAGCCCAAAGCCCAATGTCATGTTCTCGCCTGTACCGGTCCGACATTCTTGCCGCTCGGAAGTGTTCCTTGAAGCCGGGGTCCAGCACGTAGCCGATAGAGGTCCCGGGGAGGACGCAGTAGCAGAAGATGTTAGTCATGGAACGAGACCAGTAGTGGCTGGTGTCCGTCACACGCCGAACCACCACTCGATGGCCCAGACAGCTCAGTCGTAGCGCTATTTCCGGAACGTAACTGAAGTAGGGAAGCGGCTGAGGAGGAGGAGGAGGAGGAGGAGGAGGAGCAGCAGGAGGGTGTGAAGGAGGAGGAGGTGGCGGTAGCGGGCCGCCGTCTTCAGCGGATCTGCTCTCCCCGGTTGGGCTGTTACCGCCGCTGCCGCTCCCGATGCCGTTGCCGGCGCTGCTAGTGCGGATGGTGCGGTTGGTAGTGGTGCTGTATGTGCTACTGCTACTGCTGCTGTTGGTGGTGGTGGTGGTGGTAGCGGCGGCTGTAGCGGCGACCATCGCGGTGCTGTTGGCGGTGGCGACCGCGGACATCGCGGTGGTACTGGCGGTCACGGCGGCAGCTGGAATTGCGGCAGTGGAGATCATTACTTGGCAGGCCCTGTAGCAGTCGGCGTAGAACTGCCGGCAGGGTGGAGCAGGGGTAGAGGAGGGGTAGGGGTTGGGTTAAGAGGGGTAGGGGGGTGGAAGGGAAGAGGGGGAAAGACGAACCACGTGAACGAGTGAAGCTGGTGCCACGGGGGGAGTGTACAAGAAGCAGGACTAGGGTAAGAGGGGGAGGGGGGAAGAGAGAACTAGGCGGGTAGGTGTACGGCATAACCCCCGGGGGGAGTTCAGTCGATGCGGAGCTGTAGATGGCCACCTCAACCAGGACCGCGGAGGTAGGTAGGTACAAACAGACAGACAGACGGACAGACACAACAAACTTCTGACTGATTAGTTAGGAGGCAACAAACACCAGTTGCCCTCTTGTGGCTCAATGTCAGCACCCTCTTTCGTGACCTGGTTACGCTTCGGTTGTAGGTGTTCATGGCTCACATGGCTTACAGGCCACATCCATTCAAACCCAATTGCCTCTTTGCTGCGGCACTGATAGCCACCATATTGAGGATCAGAAGCACGTTATTTACTAGACTGTCCGGTGTACGACGAGAAATCAGATCTGATCTGGGTTTCCCATGCTTCGAGCATTTGAAGGACGAGCTATGAAGTGGGAACCTATGAACGTCCTGGTGAAGATTCTGGAACGAATATGGTCCCCCACCGCAACTCTATCGTTCCCTTTGGTCGTTAAGTCTCCATTATCACTTGCTTTGCCTGAAGTGCGAGGTCGGATGGTGCTTGCAGGTGCGATCTGGTAACTCTTGAGCCCACGGCTCGTATTTGACGGGTTGCTGGTACGGGATACACACACCCATGTCCACGACGTAAGACACACACACACACACACATAAACACAATTAAGAAAGGTCAACTAATTTTAAAAGACCCAGCACACCATTATCCCTTCCTCCATCTGCAAATCGTCCCACGTGCTAAACACGGTACGGCAGATGTACGGCACTGTATTGCAAGATTCGGAATCCAAGCTGTTCATCGGAACAAGCTGTTCATCGGAAAGTGGCAAAAGAAATCGTCGTGCACCATACCGTCGTTTACGTTTGTGGCGGCTGATTTAAGAGCCTTTGCTCGCTGTATCCAAAACAAGGGAACCTGGCTTTGTTTCGTCCTAGGGAACGGTGCCCTCGTGTCTGTTCCTTCTGCTGGCGTTGCTTGGATTTCTGTAACGGATCGTTCTATAGCAGGAATCAATACAAATAAATCCATTAACTGGACCGAAGTGGGCGAAACCCAAATCGGAAAAGGCCTTCCGATGTTGAGGATTGACCTTTCATGTGGTGACTGTGTGACCACGCAATACCACAATCGCACCTGACGCTCGATCAATTGCGTAGGCTGCAGAAACGTTTTGGCTGTCCGTAGGACCTCGGCCACTGTCGGGAGCTCTGGTACGCCCTGAGGCGGACTTGATGAGGCACTGCTGTTCCCGCGTCTGCACTCCGAATTCCGGTTCGTATTGCCGCTGCGTGACCCGAAGTCCACAGACGTTTCATCGCTGCTGCTGTCTGTTTTTGCATCAGTCCGCGGGCAGTCGATAGCGCCTTTCGTTGGGTCAGTTGGCTGCACCTCCCGGCCAGGCCCGCGCATGCAAGCTGACCTATTTTGGCCGAACAATAATGATTTCGTCGGGATCTGCTGTGGTAGCGTATCGGCCATCTTTTTGACTGTTAATGTGGACTGGCTTTGCTGAATTCGGTCCTTGGAGACGACGTGCGAGGGTAGAGGAGCCCAAGCACCGACCACAAACATAGGACCCGTATCCATTAGCAAGATCAACCTGCAGGGTAGAAATCTGGCAAACGTGGATTGGTCGATCATTCTTCCTCGACAGCGCAGTGTTTTGGCGCCCCAGCTCCCTGCCATCTGAATGAACCCCATTGCGTAATTCGGACAAGATAAGAATAGGGCTATAATCCTACTCCCTTATAAGGGTCACGGGGATGTAACATCCTCTATCGGTTGCGCGGTCTTCTTCCGTGCTGACACAGCAGAAGGCGTGAAACTCACCAGTTGTTCGCTACGTGTGCTTAGCCAGCTAGTCCTTGACCCGTATTGAAGATGCGTACCAGCATCTGTAGGAGCCCGTATCCTGCAGACCTCTTCAAGTCCTGCAAGCGCACGCTTTTAAGAGGGCGCTCTTTGCACCTGAGCTGCACCTCACAGCATACCTCTAAAACCAGTCAACGCCCGTAGTTCTATTGACATGCCAGAAGCAAACGCATTGGGCACCGTCGTCGGTCACGTTTTAAAAGGATGGGTACACGAATTGTAGCGGCGTGGCAAAATTCTACGCCAAGACGTTCTTCCTCGACCATGCCCAAGGTAAAGTGGGATGAATTTGGGTTGGACTAGAGCAGTTCGACCTCATTTCCGTACGGCACATGCTCCGTACAAAGGTTTTTTAGTGGTGCGCCGACGCGATGCCTTCACGAAGACTGCATTCCATGCCGACCTATAGATTCCGATACGGCCTATTTATTTACTCCATCGACTTACGATGTCCTCGACGGCAACTGCAACCAGATCGAAGCATGATAACCCTGAGCCAGGTCGTTGCAGCTTTTTCCTCGGTGGACGAAAAGCTAGATTCTGCAGATCTTTGGCAGTTTCCGGCAAACGATTCTGCGGAAACCATTTGCATGTTTGCGACCCTAGTGCAGCAATTGCTGCGCCACAGCGCGTCCCCTGTCCCTTGGATCCAAACCACACGGTCCTCCTCTCCGAGCTGGAACTCCACGTCACCAAACGGTGCACTGCCCTCGCGTTGGCGATTCATGACCGGGTCAGTCAACGCGCCCGTCTCTCATTCCCCGACCCCGACCCCACCCCTCGAACCCCCCATCCCCCCATCCCCTGATCCCCAATATTACTGGTATAATGCCCCCCCTTCTCCCGCATACTTTCCTTTCCCCTACTTCTTCCGCCTCGCCACCGCTTCTTCCATCCACACCCTTTACATACTTGTACCACGTACTCACACACGCCCGTATCGTTTGGTAGGAAAAGGGATGGCGCTGTCTGCTGTGATTAATGACGTGTAGAAATGA